ATTTGTTATAAAAAAGAGACACGTATTTTTTTATTTTGAAAAAAAGAGTTTTCTTAGAGGTCGCGGTGGTCGGTTTTTTATAAAAACGCTGATGTTCTAAATTTTTTTATTATTTTGCCATATTAAAAATGAACGTTTTGAACATTGTCAATGGTTAAAACACGTTTCCAGTGTGTTTCTGAGGTTGCTGATTACGAATCTGATGTCAGATTTTCAAAATTCAAAATGGTGGATCCAAAATGGCGACCAACTTTAAAAAAAATGATTGGAATCAGCAACCCCAGAAACCCACTGGAAACGTGTTTTAACCCTTGACAATGTTTAAAACGTTCAGTATCAACGTTTTAATTTTAGTACTTTTTTTTAATTTGATCGCCATATTGGATCCGCCGTTTTGAATAAAAAAAAATGACTTCAGATTCGTAATCGGCGACCACAAAAACTCTCGAGTGCCGGTTTTCGAACCAATCCAATCATTTAAAAAAAAAAATAGACCGCCATTTTGGATCCGCCATTTTGAATTTCAAAAAACTGACTTCAGATCCCAAATTAGCAACCCCAGAAACCCCCTGGTAACAAGTTCCAACCCATGACAATGCGTAAATCGTTCAGTATCAAAGTTTAAATTTTACTAGTCTCTTTTCGAGAGCATATTTTCGGGCACTAGGCCCATTCTAGCCGCGCAAGACAGGTATGTAGGGGAATGTTTCCCAATTATACCAGAGTAATTATATGTAAAAAACAAATTTTTAGCTGCATTTTAACATGTAAAGAAAATAAAAAATTGAGAACATCAGCGTTTTTATAAAAAAAAGGCGTGAGTACTAGGTACTCATAAAATTTAATGTGTATACATATGCGAACGGCAAAGCATAAAAGTACGTTTACATATAAATATAATCTCAATCAAAGCTCGTTAGCTGTCAAATTGGTTGTGCTTGTTATTCACACAACTCGAGGAAAAGTTAAACTTCTTCTCTGTGCCACCGTGGTCACTTTTTTTTGCAACACATATTAGGCCATTTAAATATATTTTAACTGAATATTTTATTAAAAATTCCTTTACAAACCTATTTTCCTTACTAGCGTAAATTTGTATTTACTTTAACATTTGACATTCCTCCTCTTCTTCGCAAGTATAATCGATAAAACTGGGTTGGACACCAAAAAGTTATCGGTTTAATCTGAGATATTTTTAATTATAATTTTGCATGGCTAATCTCTTTTTCTAATAACAGATTAGGGAGTCACGCTCGAAAATTAGCATAATATTTTTATATATAAAGGCGATTCAGTTACACACATACAAATGTGGGTTAGGTTAGAAATTAAACATTAATTTCACTTTATTTTATTCATTTTGCTGATTTATTTTTTTTTATTCATTTTCATTTTTAATTCTTTTAATACATGACATTATCGGTATGATTGATAAAATATACCTGTATATACTTGTGACTCAAGGGCGTTAAAATATCTTGGAAACACCGCATATAGGTAGATTTTCAAGTTTTATGCGTCAAAAAATATTTTATTGCCTCTATCTACTTAAAATTGTTTATCAAATGTAAAATTGAAATAATTTGTATTACAGATAGGTTATATTAATAAAATATATATATTAGCCAATAATTTACTATTTAAATATATTGACTACCTTTATTTATAAAATGTGTGTACACTATCATTGGTTAATTAGTTTTCGCTTTCAGAATCTTCGCTGGCCTCAAACTATTCCTTTGTCACATCTTTGACAACGGATTTAGAGGGTAACAGCAGCTTTATTGTGTCTGGGGACAACGATTTGATATTTTTTCTTTTTTTGGTCATGAACCGAAATACTGCTTAAAAACGAGTCCGAGCTCATCAACAGCCGGTTATATATGTCACGGTTACATACGTAACGAGAAAACGTCCGGGAATAATTTTCTCGGTAGTATTTGTTGTGGGCCTCTTGAGCCTCCCCGATAATTGTCCTATTAGCCGTCATCGATTCGCCAACAGTTTACGAGTGGCGAAACGAACGAACTCAATGAGGTACAACCAAACTCGCTATCGTCTATCC